ACCCAGTTCATGGATTTAGGGACGTGAATTAGGGAGAAAGCTGTGTCCTAGCCTAGGGTGAATCCTGCTGTGTTTCTCACCTGGTTAGTGTCGTGGACAATGTGTGAGGTAATACAGGAAGTTGAACAGTAATCAATCTGGAGCCAGTGTTTCACGGTATTTATTCCACGTCTCTAGATACAGGCCGAGCCATTGCCTGGCTTCATAGTAACCGTTACTACCCCAGGATTCGACTCAGATACTTGAAAACCACTAAGCGACCCCCCTCCCTCCCCGTTTCTCACACCGCATGTGGAGCAGGAGAGCAGCAGGTGACACAGAGAGGTGCTTGGGGTTCTCTTCCTTGGAGGCTGCTAGCGACTGGATCCTTCCCTTCTCTAAGGGCCGGGTAAGGGCCCCAGGAGCATGTTATAGGAGAAGGCAAACGTATGCTCCTGTGGAGCAGTCCAACTGTGAAAACCACAAACAGGACTCCCTGTATTTGTGCAGGACATTGACAGTCGTTTGCTTTTCCTCTTTGGCTAAAACAGCCCACAGAGTGGAGATCCACTCCAGCCCACTCCTCCCTGTTTTATGGAGCAGAAAACGGGTCTGGAAAGCTGGAAAGCTAATGGGGACCTTCTCCCCGGAACCCCACTGCACTGTAGCTCCGCCTCGCAGAGGGAGTTGCCTCTCATCAGGCGCGGCTCAGGGGAGAGGGAGCCTGTGTTCCTGCTCTGCTCAGGAGGATGACTCTGGGGAGTCGTGTCCTGGGGACTGCCAGAGCGGGGTGCTGCGGGGAGGGGGTAAGTGCTGTGAGCACCCTGAGGACCTAACGCTGCCTGTCAGTCTCCAGCCACTCCCAGGAGCCATCCTCTACAGCAGTGTTTCCCAAAGTGGGGTATGCGTACCCCCAGGGGTACGGGAAGAGTCTGGTGGGGGTACGCGTTGCACCGGAGTTTGGTGGGGATATGCACTGCACCGTGCTTAGCTGCGCCTAATTCTACGTTCTCATGAGCACGAGGGGTACTCAGCATTACGAAAATTATAGAGGGGGTACACATATGTCAAAAGTTTGGGAAACACTGCTCTACAGCAAGGGTTCTTAGCTTTCCTCATGCCGCAACCCACAGGCTGAGAACCTGTAGCAGGGCCACCTAAGACCATCAGAAACAGATGTTTACATTACAGCTATGAAGTAGCAACGAACATAATGTTATGGTTGGGGTCACCACAGCATGAGGAACTGTATTAAAGGGTCGAGGCATTAAAAAGGTTGAGAACCAGTGCTCTACAGGAAGCTGTTGGAAGGACTGGTTTTTGTGAATTTTAGGTTTGTCATTGGAGATGGGGATAGATAAGAAACGTGTGGAAAGATAGTTTTCTTCCAAATTGAATACATTTAAGGAACCTGGAACAGAGCTGGAAAGGGGGTTGTATTGTTGTTAGCTTGCTCTGATGACAAAGTGGGCGCCTTCTACTTTCACAGTTTAGTAATTAGGAGACCCGGTTTGTGCTTGGGCACTAGCAGCCTCACCATGAGTCAGTCTGGAGGTTCCTTTGGAATTGCTCTTATTCATAAGGTCTTCTCAGTAGAAGAGAGTGAACCACCCTTCTCAGATCTTGGGAAAGGGCGTGTGTGGCGAAGCATGTCAGAGCGCCACCTTAGTGAGAGAGCCGGGAATGACAAGATTGTGCTCACCCTTAGAGCTGATTGCCTGTTGTGTGTTGGAACTCCTTAGCACACATGTGTCAAACACAAGGCCCTCGGGCCAAATCCGTCCCGCCAGGCCTTGCAATGTGGCCCACACCGCGCTGTCATCACTGCACTTCACTGCGTTTCCATCACAATGACAGTTTATGACTGTTCAGTAAACCATTCGGCCCGCGATTTAGGCTGGATTTTAGATTTTGGCCCCTTCTCTGATTGAGTTCAACACCCCTACCTTAGCACATGCCCTCCTGAATGCTGCTCTCATGATGAGAAGGTGGTGCCAGGTGAGAATGAGGGCCTTTGGCCCTGGCCGGCAGGGCTCAGTTGTTGAGCATTGACCCATGAATCACAAGGTCACCGTGTGATTGCTGGTCTGGGCACATGCCTGCGTTGCGGGCTTAATCCCCTGTAGGGCTGTGCAGGAGGCAACTTGATCAATAATCAATGGTTTTCTCTCACATCAATGTTTCACTCTCCCTTTCCTTCCTCTCTTACATGTGGTAAATAAATAATAAAAACCATAAAGCACTCATGTACATACATCGAAATGATGGAACTTTTTTTTTTTTTTATAAATAAATGGGAGATGGCGACGTAACCGTGAAACGATGTATGTCCAGTCCGACGTGACCCGAGGGCAGCCTGTGCAGTCATGTGCCACATGGTGGTAACAACAGACCACAATGTGATGCTGCCCCGTGGGTGACCATGGAAGTGAAAGACTCCTGTCGCCTGGTGACCTCTAGCCATGCTGATGTCGTAGCGCAGCACGTCACCCGCATGTTTGTGGTGGTGCTGGGTAAACAGCCAGCTGCCAGTGTATAAAAGATGTTACATGCAGTTATGTACGGTGTGTGATGCTTAGCAAGATAATGACATCACTTGTTTCTATATGTACTATGCTGTACTCTATCATTATTTTAGAGTGTATTTCTGCTTATTTAAAAAAGCACCAAGGTTTTCTGTAAAAGTACACGTTATGCTGGCAGCAGCCTCAGACATCCTGTGTTTACAGCGCCTCTTGATTACATAATTTTCTTTTTAAAAAAATGTTTTTATTGATTTTAGAGGGAGAGGAAGAGAGAGATAGAAACATTGATAAGAAACACCTTCTGCACACCCCTCCTGGGGACCAAATCCACAGCCCAGGCATTTGCCTGACTGGACTCGAACTGGGGGCTTCCTGGTGCTTGGGTCAGTGCTCCATCACTGAGCCACTCTGGCGGGGGCGTAGTTTTCTCTTGTGTGTGATTTAATCTCGCGTTGCTTTGTACGTAACATGCTGTGCAGGCCTGTAGCCGGGAGCAATAGGCTGTACCATATAGCCGAGGGGTGTGGGGGCCCGCACCGTCTAGGTTTGTGTACGTGCACTCTGACATTCGCACAGTGACAGCATTGCCTTGCGATGCATTTCTCAGAATGCACGCTTGTTCAGTGGTGCAGGGCGTGTTTTAGAAATAGTACTATAAATACACAGTGAAAGCTACTCCTAGGACAAGCTAATGTCCCAAGTACGAAGGCGTGCTATGTCAAGGCAGAGACCCTGGCCTGGTGGCTGCCCTGTGGGAGAATCCAGCAGATTGAGGTTCATTTGGGAGCTGTGCCTTATTGTCTCTCTTAAAAAAATAAATAAATAAATAAATAAATAAATAAAATATATATATATATATATTTTTTTTAATTGATTTTTTACAGAGAGGAAGGGAGCGGGATAGAGAGTTAGAAACATCCATCAGCTGCCTCCAGCACACCTCCCACTGGGATGTGCCCACAACCAAGGTACATGCCCTTGACCGAAATCAAACCTGGGACCTTTCAGTCTGCAGGCCGACACTCTATCCACTGAGCCAAACAGTCAGGGCACCTTATTGTCTCTTAATATGGTTGAGTTTGCTTTCCTCCCCGAGTCAGCTGCATTGTTTGCAACAGGGAGAGTAGTATCCACCTCGTAGAAGGGATTGTGAGGACTAGATGAGGTTTGATCCTGCAGTGAGCCTGGCACGTAGAGGACAGTGGGCCCTTTTCCAGCCGGCCCTTCTCACCACCACCATCTCGGTGGGAGTCATGGGAACCCTGAGCAGATACTGAAGTAATGCTGGTACTGACTGTAGTCTGTCAGTTCCAGACGGAACAGACGTGCCCTAACACTGTTGACGGTTACACGGAGGAGGCTTTGCTGGGCCCAGTGTGTTTGGGAATGCGAAGGCGGGTGTGGGAGGGGAGCGAGCTGTGATTGCCCCCGAGGACAGCTTCGGTGTAAAGGCCAGTCCAGCTCTTGGGGAGCAGGGAGAACTGATAAAAATAGTTGGTGACCTAGAACACGGTATCTTTTAAAGGGAGTTAGACGGCCTTGATCAGTTGTTTTAAGATACAGACGTTAATCATTAAAGCGAGGCCCCAGCTCCACTGCTAACAAGGGTACTGGGGCATGCGTTTGGCCTTGGATGGGGCGGTGTGTTCACACGCCCTGGGGAAGGACATCTTACTAGATGACGGGGAAGCAGTTTTTCCTTTAAGAGCATTTTATAAAAACCCAACTAATGACCAACAGTGAACACCAGTGTAAGCTATGATGATGTAGGTTTATCATCATCTATAATAATAAAAGGGCAATATGCTAATTAGACCCGCGTCATTCCGGAGGGAAGTCAGCCTGTCCCGGGTGCCGCAGCCGGGAAGGAAGGCCTACTCCTGCACCTTTCCGGCCTCTTGTTTGTAATAAACGTACCGCACTGGGAGTGTTCATCATGGAAAGTCATGCATATATGGGGGCAGGTGGTTCTATGGGAAAGCTATTTTCTTCTTAAGTTTAACCTAAAACTTCTCTTAAAGGTAGTTTATTAAAAATTATATAATTAACAAAGAGACTTGGACATCAGTTACCTTCAGTTTAACGATTTTATTAGAAAATAGTAAGATTTAGCTCTAACCAGTTTGGCTCAGTAGATAGAGCATCAGCCTTCAGACTCAAGGGTCCCAGGTTTGATACTGGTCAAGGGCTTGTACTGTGGTTGCGGGCACATCTCCAGTAGGGGCTGTGCAAGAGGCAGCTGATTGATGTTTCTCACTTTCTATTCCTCTCCCTTCCTCTCTGTAAAAAAAAATCAATAAAAGATATTTAGAAAATAGTAAGATTTATCCGAATATTAGGTGTGAAATGATGACTTTCCCTCATTGTGACGTCACGTTTTGCCCGGTAGGAAGGGCTGTTCGGAGGCGCCTGCAGCCGGTCCAGGCCGTGCCTAGGGCCCGCCCAGCAGGCTTTGTTTGTCTGCGGAGGAGGCGGGTGGGGTGATGTGGGCGGGGCTCTGGTGAGCTCAGGCTGTTTGTGTTGCTGCTGGAGGTGGAGGGCATCGCTTTCTGGCAGATGCGGTTCCCAGGTCACTTCCAACTCCTGCCGCTGTTTGCTTCCGCAGAGAGTCCTGTCGTGCACAACCAGGGAGCCAAGGCCAGACACCCAACACAGACAGACGACAGACAGACAGACAGACCGAGGACACTGGCCGCTGCGCCCGGCCGCCACCCCCTCCTCCCTGTGGCTTGCCCCTGGAGGATGAGCCCAGCCTTCAGGGCCATGGACGTGGAGCCCCGAGCCAAGGGCGTTTTGCTGGAGCCCTTCATCCATCAGGTCGGGGGGCACTCCTGTGTGCTCCGCTTCAACGAGACGACTCTGTGCAAGCCCCTGGTCCCGCGGGAGCACCAGTTCTACGAGACTCTCCCCGCCGAGATGCGCAGATTCACACCCCAGTACAAAGGTGAGCCCCCTGCTGCTAGGGGTCGCCAGTGCCTGCTGAGTTGTGAGGCCAGGCGAGGTGAGGCGCGGTGACCTCGGTGGCAGCCATACCCAGAGCCTTCACCCTCCCGCTCCCTGTTCCCTCCGCCGCCTCCTCCTCCTCTTGGCCCTCATCCCAGCACCTCACACCCTCAGTTTCAAGCCCTGGTAAGATTGCTCAATTGTCTTTGTTTTGTGGATTGATTGAGTTTATTTGGTTTTTGGTGACAGTGTAGTTGTGTTTTATGTTCAAGTGTCTCTCGGTCACAGTGACCCATAGTCTCCATGGAGGGCCAGCGGGGAAGACTGGGAGGATTTTTCCCAGAATGCTTGCTGCCGGCTTTCTGTCCAGAAAACCAGAAGCCCTGGTGATAGGTAGGCTCGGGGCAGGTTGAGTCAGATGGAATGCAGGAGTGGGAGGCTGTGCTGACGGGCTGAAGCCCAGGCTGTTACGGAATGTCCCTGAAATGGCCTGTCACAGCAACTTCTGATTCACACACGGTGACTCTGCCTTTCTCTAATGCATTTGGGGGCATCAGCAGCCGCCTGGCGTGTTCTTCCTGGGAGGCGGGTCTTTGTAAATAAGGAAGAGTCCCTTAAGGAAACTAATGTGGAATGTGTATTGTCTGATTAAACAAAAGACTCTGAACAACATGGGCTCTTCTGGGACTGCAGAAACACTCTGAAGGCAGCGCCGGGCACCTCTCTGTCTGAATATGCATGTGTGCTGGGGGAGGGGGGGCCCTCACTTGGTCCTTCTCTGTTGTTTTTTCCAGGACAAAGCCAAGGCCCTATGTTAGCTGGCCGCCCCTGCCCCTTCCCCCTGGTTCTCTGCCCATGGCCGCAGGGAGTGTGGCCCCTGAGTCGTGTCCCCCCCCCCCCCCCCCCCCGGGGCCACCTCAGAAGTGTCGTCTCTCTGAGCACGCTTTCCCCTGCAGCGGGCGGGCAGCAAGGACGCACACTGAGTGATCGTGGGCCAGAGGTCTGGGAGGAGAGTGGTCAGCCTGGCTGTCAGGCGCTCGTCGACACCTGCTGATGCTGCCGGGGGCAAGCCCCTCCTCAGAGACTGAGTACACGCAGGGGTTAGCGCCTGGAGGGGGAGCCGCTGGCCAGGCGCCCGTCTGTACCGCCCAGTCCTGCTGCCTTGTTTACTTTGTTCTTTGTGACCTGAGATCTCAGACAATAAAGTAACCTTTGAGGAAGACCAAGAGGCATGGGCCCCACCTGGAAGGGGGCTGCAAGAAGCCTCTGCTAGGGTGTCTCTTGTGCTGTGTGGTTTGTTTTGTTTGCGCCTTCATTTTGTTTTGCTTGCCCAGCCTTCCTTCCCTTGGACGCTCTTACCCTCAGGCAAACCTGTGTTCCCCACCAGGCTCTGCTATGGAGCCAGCCTGCGGCCGCTGAGTTTCTGTTTAGGGCATTAAAGATCCTCATAAAGAGCAAATGTGTTCACACCTCTCAGCGTTAGAGGATTACATAAAATTAATAAACGCTTTTGATGATGGAAAAATGTGTCTTGTAATTCTTTGGCTCTTGCCTTGCTGAGTGCATCAGAGAGGACGCCTCGCTGTGTCTGCTCCCTAACGCTTGTCGTGTGTGGTGTCATCTCTTCTAGTGTTCTGAGATTTGTTAGGTTTGCAGATGAGTTTGAGGCCTCTGGCAACATAGAGACTAAGGAACAGGGTAAGAGAAAACACAAATGTTCCAATCGTTATTTATAAGGTGTGTGGAATTAAAGTTCTCTCTGCTGCTGTGGAATGAACAGTCCTCTCTGCTCCCCCCCCCCCCCCCAGGTGTGGTATCTGTGTGCTTTGATGAAGATGAAGACAGGAACTTGTGCTTAATAGCATATCCAGTAAAAGGGGACCATGGAACTGTGGACAGTGTAGACAATTCAGACTGTGAACCAAAAAGCAAGCTGCTAAGGCGGACCACCAAAAAACATCATGTCCTAGAGACAGAGAAGAGCCCCAAGGACTGGGTGCGGCAGCACTGGAAGGAGGAGAAGACAAAGAGGTGGGTGTCAGCTGAGGGAACCGGACTGGGGCAGGGGGTGGGGGGAGAGGGAGGGAATCCTAGTTGCAGCTCAGTGCCCTGGACCTGAGGACGCACTTCACGCACTTAGTAGGTGCCTTGTCACTCAGTGGCCGTTTCCCTCCGGCATGCGTAGCTCCTTTGCCGTTGACTGGATTACAAGGTGGCGTCTGGATAAGTGGCTGTGGTGGCAGCTGTAGAAGGACTTCAGTCACCTTCCTCTGTGCCAGTCCCATGCTGCGTCCTGGGGGTGTGGCAGTGCTAAGAGCCATTGGTTCAGGTGGGTCCCTGACAGTGGGAGAGAAATGGTCTGCTGGGCATCCCCGAAACTTAGGAATGCACCTAGCCAGGGAGGGCCTTCCAAGTGCCACACCGGCAGAGCTTGTAAACATACCTGGTGAAGTCTGGCTTATCGCCGAGGCATTTCGGTTCCCATTTCCCCAGCCTCCAGCATTTGGAGTCCGGGAACTGGACGTACCAGGAACCACGTGGTATCCTTGAAGAAGGAGGCTGTGGAGGCTGCCTGTGGGGGAGTGGGGAGGCAAAGGCTGGTCCTGCGTCGTAGGTCCTCCTTCCTGTAGAGAAAGTGAGCTGGCCTCTTAATTTAATAAAAAGAAAAGTCACTTTTCCTGAGGTATAATATACATACAGTGACAGGTACGTGTTTTTTTGTTTGTTTGTTTGTTTTTTAAATATATTTTATTGATTTTTAACAGAGAGAAAGGGAGAGAGATAGAGAGCTAGAAACGTCGATGAGAGAGAAACATCGACCAGCTGCCTCTTGCACACCCCCTACCGGGAATGTGCCCGCAACCAAGGTACATGCCCTTGACCGGAATCGAACCTGGGACCTTTCAGTCCGCAGACCGACGCTCTACCACTGAGCCAAACTGGCTTCGGCCAGTGACGTGTACCTTTTTAAAGTGTCTGATATGTGCGCCATATCAAGACATCAAACTTCCCATCACTCTAGAAAGCTCCTTCGTGCTTCCTTTGGCCCTGAATTTGGGTAAGACAATGTGATTTATTGATTCTTTATCTCTTCATAGCCATAAGCTAGAAGAAGAGTTTGAGTGGCTGAAGAAATCTGAAGTCTTGTACTACAGTGTAGAGAAGAAGGGGAACGTAAGTTCCCAGCTTAAATACTACAACCCTTGGAGCATGAAGTGTCACCAGCAACAGTTACAGAGAATGAAGGAGAACGCCAAGCATCGGAACCAGTACAGTATCCTTCGTCTACGGGCATCTCTGCCTCGGTGGGGTGGGGGTGGGGAGGAGGTGTGAGCTGTCAGTCCTGGTTGTGCCAGGACACTACTGTGTGACGCTGTGGGCAGAGTCACTGCCCTCAGGCTGAGGGCTGCTCTGGGAATGCAGATGGGGGCAGTTTGAGAGGTTTGGGGGGATGAGCGCTTCTCAGTTAGGGACCAGTCTGCATCAGGAGGCCTTTGGCCTAGAGTGCAAGGCGCAGGTTCGTATTAGACTCCTCAGAAGCCCCAAACAGCTTCCCTGCCAAGGGCCAGGTGGGGCGGGCTGACCACCACGGCTCCAGGCCGGCCCGTGAAGAAAGCACAGGCCATTGTTATCTCCCTTCTTACCACCAGGCTAGGTGTTGATTCTTTAAAAATACGTGTTTATTGATTTCAGAGGAAGGGAGAAGGGGGGAGAGAGGAAAACATCAATGATGAGAGAATCATTGATCAGCTGCCTCCTGCATGCCCCCTCCTAGGGGCTAAGCCTGTAACCTGGGCGTGTGCCCTGACCATGACCTCCTGGTTCATGGGTCAAAGTTCAACCGCTGAGCCACGCCAGCTGGGCTCGATTTTTTTTGTTTTAATCTTATGGGGGGAAATTCCTCAGAATTGAGTGTGTGTGAAGAAAAAGAATTATGTTTCATTTACTTTTAACATTTTATTAGGGAATAATTTAAACATGTTAAAAATAATACATGTTGAACCTCTAAGTACCAGTTACCCGGTTCGGCAGGAAACCCACTGTCAGGACTGTCTGCCCAGCCCGACCGCGGACCTGCTTCGGAGGAAGGCTCGGGTGTGCACCCAGCATGCATCTCTAGGAGAGCAGGGCCTTCTAAAACATTATTACCATTGCCACTCCTTTGCAAAGGGGACAATAATTCCTCCCTATGAAACCCCTGGTTTCTGTCCAGTTTCCCCAATTGTCTCATGAGTAAGCTTGTATTGATAGTCTCCATGAATGGGGATCTAGATGAGGCTCACGTGTTGCTTTTGGTTGAAATGTTTAAGGTTTTCTGAATACCCTTTTTGTTTTTTCTTAGAAATTTCTTGCTGTTCAGTTGTCTGTTTCTTTTGTCTTGTCCTTAGATCTGCTTTTCTCATTGGGTGATTTTCTGATTTTGACATTCCTTCATTCATGAGCTGGAATCCTACTATAAAGAAAAACTTTTCCTCATTATATCCTGAAGTATAGTTTATATAGGAAAAGCAGATTAAATCCTCCCTTTATTAGATATGTACTTAATACATATCTAATACATATATGGAATAATGAGTTTCTTAACATCCTCCAAAGGTTTCCAGTGAGTTTTTTAGCATAAGTATGAATTTAAACATCTGACATGTCTCAGTTCATTGCAGTTGTCTTTATTGATGCTCAAATTATCATACCTTTGCCAGTTGGGAGACTTTTTTTTTTTTTTTAATATTTATTGATTTTTTACAGAGAGGAAGAGAGGGATAGAGAGTTAGAAACATCGATGAGAGAGAATCATCGATCAGCTACCTCTTGCACACCCCCTACTGGGGATGTGTCTGCAACCAAGGTACATGCCCTTGACCGGAATCAAACCTGGGACCTTTCAGTCTGCAGGCCAACGCTCTATCCACTGAGCCAAACCGGTCTCGGCGCGGGGGAGACTTTTAAAAGCAGCTCCTGAGTCACTGGGACACAGTCACAGTGGTCTGTCATGGCGGGCTTCTTTTCTGGTGTGGAACAAGTCCAGGCGTGTGTGTGCGGCTCCGGGTGTGAATGTAATCATTCCTCTGAGGCAGGGTTGCACGCCTTTGCAGTTAACGCTCCAAACAGTAAACATGTTAGGTCTTGCAGGCCACATGCTCTCGGTCACAACTCTGTCGTAGCACGATAGCAGCCATAGACAGTGAACGAATAGGTATGGCTGCACTCCAATAAAACTGTTTATGGGCACGAGATTTTATTTCATTTTCATGGTTCATGACGGAATTGTGTGTATGTGGAGTCATTGTTTCTAGACGTTTTTAGTATATGCAGCTGGGAAAGACACATCTATTTTCTTTAAATATATTTTTATTGATTTCAGAGAGAAATGGAGAGAGTGAAAGAGGGATATCAATGATGAGAGAGAACCGTTAACTGGCTGTCTCCTGCTCGCTCGCCCCACAGGGGAGTTAGCCCACAGCCTGTTAGCCCAGTTGTCAGCTTGGGCTCCGTGTTGGGGGATGGCAGGACTGGCGGCCCTCTGTCGTTTCCAGCTTCTCTGGGCACGGTGTGTGGCATTGTGCCCTGGGAGTGGAGTGGCCCTTGCAGAGCACCTGCTCTTTAGAGGTGTTTCCTTAACCACGCAGAATTCATCTTGCTGGAGAACCTCACTTCCCGCTATGAGGTACCGTGTGTCCTGGACCTCAAGATGGGGACACGCCAGCATGGTGACGATGCTTCCGAGGAGAAGGCAGCCAACCAGATCCGAAAATGCCAGCAGAGCACCTCTGCGGTCATTGGCGTGCGCCTGTGCGGCATGCAGGTGAGGGAGAGCTGGGGCATGGTGCGGGCTGGCCACGCGTCCGCCTCCTGCCGCGCCCCTACCTTGTCACAGTCCTATTTTTTCTCAAAAGATACCAGATTTGACTAAATCTTACACTTTCTGGTTGGAAAGAAAGCACGCACGTCCGGGTCATCCCCTTTGGGCTGGCCTGGCTGGCCGAGTCCAGCGTCTGGACAGGAGGACGGGCAAGGCCAGAGGATTAGGCCCTCTCCTCAAGCCCCATACAGGACGCGGAGCTGGGGCAGAGCCCGTGCAGAGGGCTGTAACCTGGGCACAGTGTCTCCTGTGACCCAGCCAGTTAGAGAGTATGATTGGCCCAGGGCTGCTGTTACCACAGCCACGCCCAGGGCCCGGCTCCGAGGCGGCTTCCGCCTGACCTGCCGGTCTCCCTCCACAGGTGTACCAGGCGGGCAGTGGGCAGCTCATGTTCATGAACAAGTACCATGGGCGGAAGCTGTCGGTGCAGGGCTTCAAGGAGGCGCTTTTCCAGTTCTTCCACAACGGGCGGTACCTGCGGCGCGAGCTGCTGGGCCCGGTGCTCAAGAAGCTGGCGGAGCTCAAGGCCGTGCTGGAGCGGCAGGAGTCCTACCGCTTCTACTCCAGCTCCCTGCTCATCATCTACGACGGCAAGGAGTGGCCCGAGGTGGCCCTGGACTCGGATGCGGAGGACTTGGAGGACCTGTCTGAGGAGTCGGCCGACGAGTCCGCGGGGGCCTATGCCTTCAAGCCCCTCGGCGCCAGCTCCGTGGACGTGCGCATGATTGACTTTGCACACACCACCTGCAGGCTGTACGGCGAGGACAGCGTCGTGCACGAGGGCCAGGACGCCGGCTACATCTTCGGGCTCCAGAGCCTGATAGACATTGTCACAGAGATCACCGAGGAGAGCGGGGAGTGAGCTGGCCGCCTGCACTGCCCTGACCCTGTGCCGGGCACAGCTGTGCTGTGTCGGAGGAAGCCAGTGTGGCCAGCGGGTGGCCTCTGCAGCCTGGAGCTGACGCACAGAGGCCCACGTCCCCGCCTGAGCCAGCCACCGCGCTCCGTCTTTATTTATTTTACCTGTTTCTTCAACATTCCATGTTCGATGATGCAGATACCTCTTCCCTGAGTGTAAATGTCCTAATACAAAGCCTTTTGTTAATTGTACACAGTGCTGCTGTCATTTTTTTTTATTGAATTTATTGGGGTGACATTGGTTAATAAAATCATATAGATTCAGATACACTGTCTATAACATCATCATCTGTATGTTGTGTGTTTTTACCGCCCCCAGTCGAGTCTCCATCACCATTTACCCCCTTCACCTTCTAACCCCCCCTAACCGCCCTCCTCCCCCGTCTTTCTTGTCAGAGGCAGGCAGCCATCTTCCTTCCGACCCTCAGAAGCCGCCTCACCTACTGGCCCCTCCATGGTGCTTAAAGTCACCACAGCCTCTTGGCTTGGTCTTCAGTCCCCTCACCTAGGCCCCTGAGGTGACCCCCAAAGGACCCCAACACGTGAAACCTCAGCCCATGGCTCTGGGGTCCGTCACCGAGTGTCCCAGCACCTCCTCTGGGAAGAATGACACTGGACTCCTGCCGGTCCTGCCCTGCCCTCGAGCAGCTTAAGCCAAGCCTGGCAGCAGCTCATTGGCTGGGCATTGTGATGTCAGAGGACCTGGAACCAGTATCGGGCTGCTCCAGGCTCTGGCTGTGGCAGCAATGGCTCTGTGGCAGCGGGGTCCCAGAGATGGCTGTGCCATGAGGGGTGTCCTGTCACCACAGTATTCATCCGAGCCCCGGCAACCGTGCCGTCCTGTCCTTCGCCGGGAGAACGCCCCGTGCCCGGTGCTCTGGGCTTCTGGGAGGAGGTGTGTGTGGCAGGAGGTTTTGAACTACAGAACCAGACACCGGGGAGCGGGGCTCGGCCTGGTGCCAGGAGCACAGGTCTGTGCCATTTAGCAAATCCCCCTCTCCTGGCCCCGGCGTGTCCTCTGAGGCCCAGCACGCCTACGTCCACCGTAGCCACATAGGCCCCCTGCACACTCTGGTTGGGTCGGCCCCCAACCCCGCTCCTGGCTCCCAGTGGGGAATGAGATGGGAGGTCCCCAGAGGCCCCTCCTTCAGACCCTCTGACGGACAGTGAGTGGTCAAACAGCCCTAAGGCTACGCGGCTATGCACCTGCTCAGCCTCAGCGTGACACCTAGAGGCAGCAGTGGGAGCTGGGAGGGCCTGTGCTGTGGAGGAGGGAGCGTGTCCCAGGCAGAGGAAACAGACCACACCATGTCAGGGCCCTGCCCTGGGGCTCAGTGGTTAGATGGCTGCCCAGGCACCCAAGGGTCAAAGGGTCGCAGGTTCTGTTTCTGGTCAGGGACCTACCTGGGCCATGGTTCCCTCCCGACCTCGGGTTGGGGTTCACGTGAGAGGCAACCAGTCGAGATGCCTCTTTCACATCCATGCTTCTCTCTCTCCTTCCCTCCCTCTCTCCCTTCCACTCTCTGAAAAGGGAAAAAATGCCCTCGTGAGGATTAAGAAAAAATACAGTGTGAGAGAGGAAGGGGAAAGCTGCTGAGGGAGGAAGTGGGGTGTGTAGCAGGATGGGAGGGTTTGGGACGGGTGATGGCCCAGCATGGTTTCTGTTTTTATTGTTTATTTTTAAAGTAATATACTTTTATTGATCTTTAGAGAGAAAGAAAGGGAGAGAGAGAAACGTTGATGATGAGAATCATGGATGGGCTGCCTCCTGCATGGCCCCTTCTGGGGATGGAGCCGCACCCTGGGCCTGGGCCCTGACCAGGAATCGAACCGGACCTCCTGGCTCCTGGGTCGATGCTCAGCGGCTGACCCACACCAGCCGGGCTGGTTTGTGTCCAAGGCTCCTCCTCGCTCTCGTCCCCCACGGCCCCCCGGCGGCGGCGCCCGGGGAGCCACTCCGAGAGGCCGGGAGCCGCGGGTCCGAGCGGAGCGGCTCAGCGGAGGCACCGTCCGGCGATGAGATCGGGACCACTCCTCCGGGCGGCCGTCGGCGGGGGCTCCCGGGGGCCAAAGCGCTCGGGCTGAGCGGGGAGGGGCTCTGGGCGGGGAGGGGCGCGGGGAGCCGGCGAGGGGACGCGGGCTCGGCCGCTGGGCCGCCAGGGGGCGCCGGCGGGCGTGGCCCCGGGGCGGGCGGCGCGGCGCGGCGCGGCGTGCGCGCTCCCGCCGGTGTCACGGGGCCCGCGCGCTCGCGGCCTGGGTCCCGGTTCCGCAGCCGCCGCCTCGCCCGGCCCGGCCCGGCCCGGCGGCCCCATGTACCGCGCGCTGTACGCCTTCCGCTCGGCGGAGCCCAACGCGCTGGCGTTCGCGGCGGGCGAGACGTTCGTGGTGCTGGAGCGCAGCAGCGCGCACTGGTGGCTGGCGGCGCGGGCGCGCAGCGGGGAGACCGGCTACGTGCCGCCCGCCTACCTGCGCCGCCTGCAGGTGAGTGCGCCCCGGCCCGGCCCGACCGGCCTCCCGCCGGCCTCCACCGGCCCCGGCCCTGCCTCCCGCCGCTCCCCACCGGCCGGGGCGGCCTCCGGGGAGAGGGCGATGGCGAACCTGACCCAGACCCCAAACCCACGGGCACCGGGACCCCAGACCCACGCTCACCTCCACGGACCCAAGACCCAGCACACCCGACTCCGGGACTGAGACCCTTTGGGGCCCCGGACCCTGGGACCCGCTGAGCCCGATTCCAGCCCCACCGGGCCTGGCTAGTTCTCCAGATCCCCGACTCCAGACTCTCCATCTCCCCGTCCCCCTGGGTCCCCAGGAGCCCACACTCCCCCTCCCACCCTCAGGCCCCCAAGTGGAGCCCCTGAGACCCCACCTGCTTCCCCGACCCCCATGTCCCACCGCCGCTCACACCCTGGAGACCCAGAGCCATGACCCCCCATCCCCGGTGACCCCAAAGCCTGAGACCTCAGCGTCTTCACCGTCTCCTCAGCCACCCCAGGCCTGCCTCGGGCCACCCGCCCTCCCTCCACTTTGAACCACCGGCCCCCGCCCCCCAAGCCTCAGGCCCTGCCTCCCGGACTCTCCATCCCTCCTGAGCCCAGCCTGGGGGGCTGCTGACCACGGCCCCGTTCCCCTCCTGTGTCCCCAGGGAGAGCCTTGCTCTTGGGGTGCAGCTGGTCCTCTCTGACCCAGGGCAGGGCGGCCTGCAGCCTCCGGCTCGCCCCGGCCACCCTAATCCCTCCCTTAGAGGCATCGTGGCCCAGCCCAGCCAGGACGGAAATAACGGGATAAATTTGGAGATGCCGTCTGGCTGCACCAGAGGGAAGGGCCCAGCCCGACCCTCCGCCTGACCGTCCAGCGGCACCTGCAGTGGCAGAGAGAGTGGGACGGCGGGGGTGAATGGCGGAGAGAGTGGGACGGCGGGGGTGGATGGCAGAGAGGGTGGGACGGCGGAGAGAGTGGGACGGCGGGGGTGGATGGCTGAGAGAGTGGGACGGCGGGGGTCGGACGGCGGAGAGGGTGGGACGGCGGGGGTCGGACGGCGGAGAGAGTGGGATGGTGGGGCGGACGCCCGGGGTGGATGGCAGAGAGGGGGGACGGCGGGGTGGATGGCAGAGAGGGTGGGACGGCGGAGAGAGTGGGACGGCGGGGGTCGGACGGCGGAGAGAGTGGGACGGCGGGGTGGATGGCAGAGAGGGTGGGACGGCGGAGAGAGTGGGACGGGGTGGATGGCAGAGGGGGGGGGATGGTGGGGCGGACGCCCGGGGTGGATGGCGGTGGGGCTGCTGGGGCCGCACCGGCTCTCGGGGCGAGCGCTCTTGGCCTTGGAGGACCGTCCTGCCTCTTGTCTGGCCCTGTGAGCCCGCCCCACCCGGGGCAGTAGGGCTGGGAGCTTGGGGCGTCGGGGAGGCTCCCGTCTTCTCTGCTCAGCCCCCTGCCTCAGTTTCCCCGTGTGTCTCCTCCTCCGGCCCTCAGTCTGGCTGCCTCCGGCGGCCTGTCTCCCCGCCCCCGTGCCCCGCCTCCTCTCAGTGTCTTTCTGATCCTGTGTGTGTGCCCCTGTTCCCCCTCTGCCGTTCCCTGGGTGGCTGTGCTGAATGCGTCCCTCTGTCTGTCCAAACCTGCCGTGTAGTGATGCGGCCTCAGTTCGGAGGCTCCTGGTGGCCTGATGGACATGTGTGCCGGGAGCCGGGGGCGGGAGGGGCCAGTCCTGCAGCTGCCCCCTGCGCCCGCCCCGGCCAGGCAGCTGACTCCGGGCAGGGCCAGGCCTCTCATGATTATGTCCGTCCTTCGCCACAAACAGAACTGCTGCTCCCGGGTGTGCGCATGTGTGTGCGCGCGTGTGTGCGTGCTCGTGTGCATATGTGTGTGCATGTGTGCGCGCGCGTGTGTGCGTGCGTGCGTGCGTGTGTGCGTGCTCGTGTGCATATGTGTGTGCGCGCGTGTGCGTGTGAGAAAGGTTCCTGGAACAGCTCGGGGAGATGGGACTGGGAGCCGGGTGGGAGGGGGAGAAGGCGGGGAGGGAGGGGTGATCCCGTGGCCCGTGGTCGCTGCCAGGGCCTGCAGGTCTCCATGGAGACAGGGCTGCACTGGGGTGTGACCTTGGTTTTGTGAAGGGTCAGCAGGACCAGGGTGACTTGTTCAAGGAGCCTGAGCCGGAGTCCCCCCGGGGAGGGACCAGGCGTGTCCCCGGCCTCTGCTGGGGTCCCCGGGCTGTGTTTTTGCCCAGGCTCCGGGCTTTCATGGACATCTTAGCGGGAAAACCTCCGTGGGGTGGACACTGAGGGGACCCCCGTGCCACGCCCAGCTCCCTGGGGTGCAGCTTGAGGACCCGTTTCTATGCTCTGGCTCCGGCGGCAGAGGTGCCGCTCTGTCCCGGCTCCATCCAGGCTGGGCCTGCGGTCAGTGCCCTTCAGTGGCCCCTGGTCTAATCGCCGGCCCCTCCCCCCCCCCAGGGCGTGGAGCAGGATGCCCTGCAGGCCATTGACCGGGCCATCGAGGCCGTACACAACGCGGCCATGCGGGAAGGGGGCAAGTACAGCCTGGAGCAGCGCGGGGTCCTGCAGTGAGTGGCGCCCCCGGGTACAGGGGAGGGGGGGGTGCTGGGACGGAGCTGGGGGTGGAGATGCCGGAGCGGGAAGGTCCTGGCTGGGGGGGCAGCACCCCACAGGGCGCGTGTGAAGACGGGGAGCTGTGGA